GGATTACCTCTCCAAGCAAGTTTACCGAATCCAAAAACAATATTTCATTTCAGTCTGGCCCAACGTATCAAAAACACAATGGTCGACCTGCCGTGATAACGGAGGAATGCAAGGCTGCCACGGCTCCCACGTCAGACGCAACGAAGGTCACGGTCGGACCTGTGACCTTTAGCCCCCCCACCTGCTAGGTCGAGCCCAGTTGCAGAGCAGTGGAGTATGCCCTGGGCCAGGGCCAGACAGCTCGTCCCCTCGGATTCCAAACGGGGACGTCGGTCTTTCCTCTGAGGGCTTCATCGGACTCCGACCATCCCTCCAGCTCCCGCTTTCTATCATAACCCAGGAAGTGGCCTCGGCTTCTATTTTTAAGGCATGAAGTTTCTCAAGAAATAGCATAGGATTCTGGAAACATTATGGCCTCAGCAATCAAGACATTTCACCCAGTTTTCCCCGCTCCCCAAGAAAGGCCGAGCGGAGCTGCACCCAGAGGTTTATTACTGGCCAAAATAAAACAACCCGCCGGCCTGCTGGTCCCAGAGGGAGCCTCCTGCACCAGCCGGCCACTTCCTAGGGGTTTGCTTTATCATTTTATTCCTGCCCCGTCCACCGTCCCTCATTATCACATTAGGCAAGAATCCACGTAAGTAAACACGGTGACCTCTGGCTTTTACATGCGGCATGGCTGTGTGGTGGATGCCTGAGTCCTGAACTTTACCCTAAAAGGCTTAGGCAGAGGGCTGGCCTGGTGCTGACAGCTGGAACAGCTGGAAAGGGTACACTTCTCAGGGCCGTCTGTGGAGTTTATTGCCCTACGACAGGAATCACTCCGAGAGTCGCCTCCTCGGTGCCCGTAACCGGAGGCATTGTGCGATGACGGGGACAGCGCTATGTCAGCCACTGACTCTCTGGCGATGCCCGGGGTAGTTCTGAAACCTCACGCCTCAGAGTCACCGGAGGGCTCAGTGAAAGACACGAGCCTCACCCCCAGTCTCCTGATTCTGGGAAGACCCACACTTCTGAGAAGGGTGGCGGCTGCTGCTGGTTCCGGGAACACTTTGAAAACCACGGACTCAGGCAGTGATGCCTAAGAATAAGGGACGTTCGGCAGGGGTTCTGTGACTGCAAGACTTCAGAGTGTAGGAGGGTGACCGACCGGCCCGCTGGCCTGGGACCCACAGGCTTTTCAGGTTGAACTTTAAAAAAGCTACATGGGATGTGGCCTTATTTGGAAACAAGGTCTTTATAGACGTCATCAAGTCGAGATGAGGTCATACCAGAGTCAGATGAGCCCTGACCCAGTGCCCCGTGTCCTTATAAGAAGAGGAAATTTGGGCCCGGAGAGACAGCTACACACAAGGAGGAGGCCATGTGACGGAGGCAGACATGGGCGTGATGCCACTTCACGCCAAGGACCGCCAAGGACCGACCCACCCCAGAGGCCGGGAGAGGCGTGGAACCAAGCCTGCCAGTAGCCGGGTTCCAGACCCCGACCCCCACAGCTGTGAGACAATAAAGGCCTGTTGTTTTAGACCCCCACATTGGGGCGCTCTGTCACGGCGGTGACAGGAAACTCACACGGGGGTGTCGTGCAGTGTGGGGGTTTCACTCTCGAAGCCATTTGTGAGGACGAGAGAGGGGGCAGGTCTTCAGTGCCCGGAGCCCGGGGAGACTTGTCCTTCCAGGCACACGAGGGGCCGGCCCACAACTTCTCCCGTAAACACGTGGTATTCTTTGCTCGGTTTTAAAACACAGCGAGTGACGTTTTCCAGTTACGGGAGCTTTCTGTCCTTGTAGTCCCATTTCGCTTTGAACCCGAAACCGCTCTGGAAAATAAAGTCCATGTTTAGAAATAAAATGTAAGCAGCTTAATTTTCCAGTTGAAAATAAGGGAAGAGGCGTCCTTCTTCCAGAATTTCTCTCTCGGTCCTTTTCACATTACTGTATATAAATTTTTTTAATGGCTCGATAAGCCTGTTGTCAGTCCAGCAACGGGGGACTGTTTCCTCTGGGAGCTGGGAGCCATCTCTTCTAACCAGCAAGGACGATTAACGGCCCTCTTCCCACCGTCCTGGGAGGAGAGGGACTTCGCTTTAGCTGTCCCCTTACTCCGAGTTGCGCAGCCCGTCTCCCAGCAAGAAAGGCAGCTCTGTAACCTCGAGAACATGGATGTGACGTGTCACGTCCGCCTCGGTAGGCGGCTGCCATTCCGTCATCTTTGCCACCTCCTTGCAGTCTGCCCGTGATGCAGGCCGCCATCCGGTTCAAAGCTTCTTCAGTGAGTGACACACGGTTTGCTTTCTCTTCTGCCTTTAAGGACCGGCTTCCTGGGCTGGGAGATTTTGTTTCTAATTATATTTCCCCAAAAGCCCTGTGTCCAAAGGCACACGTGGGGATGTGTGGTTCAGCTGGTGTGGACGCCCACGGGCCCAAGCCTCCTGGGAGGTCCGTGGGTGCAAGGGTGACATACAGGTCCCAGGATACTGGGACAGCCTCCCAGAACAGGGGCAAGGCCACTTCCGTGCCCAAAGAATTGCACGACCTCCTTTTCCTGGCCCTGAAGTGCTCTGTCTGTGAAACGGTGGTAAGAATATTCTTTGCCGAGAGCAGCTCAGACTCAGACTGCTCCCCGCCACAGTCCGCCTTCCTCCCCACCCGCCAGGACCCCCTGGGGTCGCCCTGGTGCACAGGCACCCTCCCTCCTCATCTCAGAGCTGGCCTCTGCCGCAGCAGCCAGCAGAACCACTGTTCTATGTGTACACATCTCATCTTGTGGCCTCCATGTTGACTGTTCACTCCACAAACAGTCTTTGAGCCTCTGTTATGTGCCGAGAACTTCTGTGCCCCGAGGAAGTGTCACACTGGCGTGGGGCTGCATGTCCCTGTGAACCCATCCTTGTCATCTGAGGGGGGGTCTGGGTGCAGAGCGCTGTGGCCCACCAGGAGGGCCGCTCCGGGCAGGGCAGGCCACACTAAGATGAATCAGGGGTGCGCCCTGGGTTCCCCTGGGGAGGTGGGAGGGGTGAGGAGCAGGAGCAGGAGGGACCTGGAGCTGCCGCCCACCTGCCCACCTGGCGGGAGACGCTGCCGGCGGAGGGCGGAGGGCGGAGGGGGTCGCGGTTCCGTACATGTTGGGGCAGGAAGTTTAAGGTGGGAGGTTGTTTGCTGAGCCAGGGCTGCGCAGGGGCTGGTCAGGGCCTGGTCCAGGGCTGTCTTCTTTGCCCTCAGAGTAACCAGGTGGGAAAGGGAGGGCGAGGGCAGGGCCGGCTTCGTGCTGGGGAGGGGAGAGGGAGAGGGGCAGCTCTAGCAGAGTAGAAACCCCCCCAAGGGCAGCGGGGAGGCGCGCCCCACCCCCCCGTGTGGCCCTGGCCCAGCGGGGGCGTTAGTGGGCTGCGGTCAGAGAGAGGGG